TGGGGTTTAGGGTTGAGGGCTGCTCAAAACACCAAACTTCAAACACACACGAACCAGACTTGCCCAACCAGGTCCACTTGACCACGGGGGTGCTTGAGGGTTCAGGGTTTAGAGTTTAGGGGTTTGGGTTTTGGGTTTAGGGTTAGGGTTTTGCTTGGGAAATATTGAGTTTGTCGGCGTAGGGGCAGTGGCACCGCACCACTCAAGCTGAAACAAGCCACGTCCTGAACCCCGTATCCCTGCGATGGGTATGGCCACCGACGGGGCAGCAATCACCCAAACCCTAAACCCGAAACCCGATACCCTAAACCCGCAACCCTCAACCCCAAACCCTAAACCCGAAACCCTAAACCCTAAACACAACTCCGGCCACCTGAATTTAGGGCTTAAGAAGGGTTCTGAGCTCATGGGCCTGGAGCTGGGCGATGGGGGTTGGCCCTAAACCCTAAACCCTAAACCCTAAACCCTACACCCTAAACCCTAAAGCCCCCAAAGAACCGTAAACCCTCAACACAGGATCTCGCCTTTGGTGCCAGCTGAGCCTGCTGAGGCTCCGTTCTTGCCTGGGCTTCGGAGGTTTAGCGAGCTTCGGGTTTAGGGTTTAGGGTTTAGGGTTTAGGGTTTAGGGTTTAGGGTTTAGGGTTTAGGGTTTAGGGTTTAGGGTTACAAGTAGTATTCCCTTAGGGTCCCTATATAAGTATACGATAAGAACCCCCCCCCAAAACCAGTAAGCGGCACCAGGAGCACAATCTCCACCACCAAAACATTCGGGCCCCTTTGTGGGTCCCCTACATAATACTTGGAGGTTCAATAAATTCAATAACCAATTGTAACTGTACTTATAACTGTATGTAGAACCATATGAGGGCACTTAGGGGCTTATAAGTGGGTTCTAAGTACAGGTATAATTGGTTCATAAGTACCATGAACCTCCCAGTACGGTACCCTTGTAATAAGGATCCCAAAAAGGAGAGAAGCACCGCAATGAAGGGGGGGGGGGGGGGTTACGAAAATAAGGAACCCCCAACATAGATCCCAAATAGTAGGACTCTCTTATCGTAAGCAATGAGGACCCAAATCAGGTACCCCATTTCGGAAACCCCATATGGACCAAAGATTTTCAAGGGTATAAGGAGGGACCCCTTGAAGGGACCCTTAATCTTATTCCCCTATATCACCCCTATATATACCTTATAGAGTCCCTAAAAAGGTATATATATATATATATGCACCTAAGCACCCCCTTTACAACCCCCAAATCACCCCTGAGGTCCCAAAGAAGGGTCCCTCTGTTAGTCCCTTCTCAACAAAGAACTAGACTCACGCGTTCATGTGTTAGGATCACAAGGCGAAGAACATCACGTAATCAGTGGTGGCGGCGTGAGGGCCCCATTGACATAAGTAGCAAATCTTTGCACCGAACGGACGACATGAATCCCTAAACCCTACACCCTAAGCCCTAAACCCTAACCCCTAAGTAGCACAACTATTTTGTTCTCATGGTGAGGTCCAGCGTGATGATGATGGCGCTCGTTTAAGAGCTTGATGGATATTGAGCCGGGTGGTCATGACCTCATATGATATGTGGGTTCCCGACATTTGGGTGTAGGGTTTAGGGTACCCTATTGGGGTCCTTGATCTCTACTAGTTGGGAGTCCATATCGGGGGTCCCGAATTTTCGTAAACCTCCGTGCTGCTTCCTACTCCGTAGCAAGGGAACTTCAAAACTATTCAAGTTCACAGAGCTGCATTGCTTAGTCTTCCAGTGAAAAACCCTAAACCCTAAACCCTGAACCCTAAACCCTAAACCCTAAACCCTAAACCCTAAACCCTGTACTTGTCTTCATTTCTACTTGTCCTTCGCTTTGTTCCTCCTTACCCAAGCAGATGATGACTCCAAGCCTCTTCTTCTCGAAAATGCACCAAGACCATGATTCCGGGACACAGCCCTAAACCCTAAACCCTAAACCCTAAACCCTAAACCCTAAACCCTAAACCCTAAACCCTAAACCCTAAACCCTAAACCCTAAACCCTAAACCTCAACCCTAACCGTTTCCAGCCCAGAACTCCAAAACTGCGATCCCGGGTTGGGAACCTTTCAGACCCAAATTCACCACACCATCATTCCCAACCCCACCTCCCCCCGCTTCTCAGCTCGAAAACAGGGGATATTCCCGGCTCATCGATAGTACAATCTAAACCGCAGTCGAACTCAAGGGCTCCTCCCCTAAACCCTAAACCCTAAACTCTAAACCGCCTGGCTCATCGAAGATTACAATCCTGACTGAAGCCCGAAGAGTATAAACTCCACACTTTCCGTGCCCAAAACCCTCAACTTCCTGCACCCCAAGCCCCAAACTGCCTAACCCCTCAACACCCGAAGCCCCAAACTTCCGAAATACCTAACCCCCAACACCCGAAATGCACAAACTTCCAAAATTTCCAAACCCTAAACCCTAAACCCCACATCCTCAACTTCCTAGTCCCTTTTGTGTGTCGAAGCTGCTTCCTTGGCAGAGTCCGTCGCGGCCTCCACCACCTGCGCCTTGATCGGAGAGGGGTCCTTCCAGGGGCTCACCACATCTTCGCCAGTGTACGAGGCTGTGTGATGTCTGATATTGCAGTGTGCGGTTCAGTGTTTAGGGTTTAGTTTAGGGTTTTAGGGAGAAAGACAACAAGCGACTTGACCTGAGTTGGCAAGAGGAAAAACCGCAAACACGCCACACGCCCAGGTTGAAACAAGCAACACCCCGACTGACAGAGGCCTGCACCGTAAACCCTAAACCCCGTATCCCTGTGATCAGAAAGGCCCCGCAAAGAGGCAACACACACACACACACTCAAACCCTAAACCCAACTAGGCAACCTCAATTTAGGGTTTAGAGCGTTTCTGCAAAAACCCTAAACCCTAAACCCTAAAGCCAAGACCCTAAACCCTAAACAAACCCTAAACCCTAACCACGAAAACCAACATCTCCCCTTCGGCGACATCCTGAAGCTCTGCTCTCGCCTTGGCTTCGGCTGATGTGGCCGCCGCCTGAAATTTACAAGAAGACGCAGATTTCGGTTTTAGGGTTTAGGGTTTAGGGTTTCGGGTTTAGGGCAGCCCAACCCCACATTCGAATCCAAGAGGACCCTAAACCCTAAACCCGAAACCCTAAACAGCCCTAAACCCTACCCCCACCCCCCCCACCCCCACCCCCCCCACCCCCCCCCACCCCCCCCACCCCCACCCCCCCCCCCCCCCCCCACCCCCCCACCCCCCCCCCCCCCCACCCCCACCCCCCCCCCACACCCCCCCCCCCCCCGTGGGTGGCTTAAATAGGGTCTATTTGGAAGCTGGGACTCGGGTTTTCTTATAGCCATACACGTTTCCACGAGGGTACGCTGCTGTCACGTCAGTCGTACTATGGAGGCCTCAGGAACAAGAACCAGGTAGTTCCTCTTTTCTCTTCTCTTTTTCTCCTCAATCCTAAAGTCGAAGGCTCTCGTGAGGAGAAGAGAAGGGAGAGAAGGAGGGAAAGATAAGAGGAACACGATTTTCATGGGAAGAGCCAAGAAAAGAATAGAAGAGAGATAAAACAAGGCGCAAAGAAGATGGTACTCTTCTTTATCTATCCTCTCTCCCTTATCTCTCCGTTCCCTCTGTCTTTTCGAAATGAGAAAAACAAAAAGAAAGATGAAAAGAAGAAGGGTTAGGAAAAGAGCCGAAGAGATAGGCCGAAAAGAGGGGTATGGTGAAGTACGGCAAAGGTCCACGCACAAGGAGTCACCTTCTGCTTACCCTTCCACTGCTTGATTTTACAAGCTCCTTTCTTGTGTTTTATCAGTTAAAATTAAAAGGAAACAGAAGGAGAGAAGGGAAAGGGAAGTGAGAGAGGAGAGACAACAAGGAGGCCATTTTAATTTCCTGTGAGTTATCAAAAGGAATGCAATATTATGGGAAGAGCAATGGAAAAAAAGAGTGGAAGAGAAATTAAGACAGGAGAGGGAGGTGCAAAAATAAGGCAAAGAGAAGATGGTGCCGTTTTCATCTCACCTCTCGTTCTTATCTTCCTCTTCTCTGGTTCTTTTCCCTGTGAAATAAAAAAACAAAAGGAAGGACAATGAACATATAAAGGAACCCGTTTTCGTTTTCCGTTTGGGCACAAGGAAAAAAAACAGAGGCGATAGGGCGAGAGGAGGGGTTTGCTGAAGCATGGGGAGGGTGTACGGGCAAGGGGCCAACTCCGCCCACTTCCCCCATCCATTGAAAGAGGAAAAGGAACAGGGCCTCCATTCCCCTCTTATTCTTCCTTTCTTGCGTTTTTGTCGTTTAGAAGGGAACAGGAGAAGAGGAGGGAGAGAGAAGGAGAGAGGAGACATAAAAAGGGTTGCATTTTTAATGGGAAGAGCAAAGAAAAGACCAGAAGAGAGATGATGGGAGAAGAGGGGGAGACAAAACAAGGCGCACAGAAAATGGGCAGATAAGAAGAGAGGAAAGGGAATGACCAAGTACAATGAGGAGTTCTTCAATTTCCCTCCCTATCTCTTATGTTACTTTTCCTTCTTGTGGGGTGTCCCTTTTTCTCTTGAAGATGCAGAAAACGATTGAAAAGGACACCCGTTCCATCGCCCATATGTAGGGAAAGAGAGAGAATCATGAGCATCAGCTGGGCTTGCTGCCAATCCAACATGGGCGTCCCTTTTAATCGCATTCTGTGTCCTTTTTTCTCGCTTGAAGATGCAGAAAACGATCCAAAAGCACATCTGTTGGAGGAAGAGAGAAGGAGAGAGGAGAGATACCAAGGATTGCATATTTAATGGGAAGAGCAAGGAAGAGAATAGAAGACAGATGAATAGAGAAGATGGCGCTCTTCTTTATCTATTCTCTCTCCCTTGTTTCTCCCTTCCCTCTTTCTTTTCGAAATGAGAAAAACAAAAAGGAAGAACTATGAGAAGGAGAAGAGTAAGGAAAGGAACAGAAGAGATAGGCCGAGAGGATGAATATGATGGAGTATTATGGAAAGGCTCACGCGCAAGGAGTCACCCTCTGCTTACCTTTTCACTGCTTTATCATATGAGTTCCTTTCTTGTGTTTTATCAGTTAAAAGGAAGCGGAAGAAGAGAAGGGAAAGGGAAGTGAGAGAGGAAAGATAACAAGGATGCTATGTTTCCCGAAGCGTGCTGCAAGGAATAGAAGAGACAGGAAGCAAGGAGACGGAATCACAAAATAAGGCGCAAAGCTGTACATATCATCTCTCCCTTGTCTCTCCCTATTCCCTTTCGAACTAGAAAAAACCATTCTTGCTTTTCACAGATAGGTTCCCTCTCTCCTCTTCAGGAAATCCCCTTTCCCTTATGTTGCTTTTTGAAGCGAATAAGAAAAATAGCAGATAAGAAGAGAGGAAAGGGTCAATTTCCCTCCCTATCTCTTATGTTGCTTTTCCTTCTTGTGGGGTGTCCCTGTTTCTCTTGAAGATGCAGAAAACGATTGAAAAGGACACCCGTTCCATCGCCCATGTGTAGGGAAAGAGAGAGAATCATGAGCATCAGCTGGGCTTGCTGCCAATCCAACATGGGCGTCCCTTTTAATCGCAGTCTGTGTCCTTTTTTCTCGCTTGAAGATGCAGAAAACGATCCAAAAGCACATCTGTTGGAGGAAGAGAGAAGGAGAGAGGAGAGATACCAAGGATTGCATATTTAATGGGAAGAGCAAGGAAGAGAATAGAAGACAGATGAATAGAGAAGAGGGAGAGACAAAACAAGGCGCAGAGAAGATGGCACTCTTCTTTATCTATTCTCTCTCCCTTGTTTCTCCCTTCCCTCTTTCTTTTCGAAATGAGAAAAACAAAAAGGAAGAACTATGAGAAGGAGAAGAGTAAGGAAAGGAACAGAAGAGATAGGCCGAGAGGATGAATATGATGGAGTATTATGGAAAGGCTCACGCGCAAGGAGTCACCCTCTGCTTACCTTTCCACTGCTTTATCATATGAGTTCCTTTCTTGTGTTTTATCAGTTAAAAGGAAGCAGAAGAGAAGGGAAAAGCAAAAATTGAGCCCAACATTTTAGGACCAGGGCTTGCGATCTGACTCTTTGGAGCAAAAATCGATTCCAAAATCTTAGGGACCAGGGCTTGCGATGTTACTCTTTGGAGCAAGAAATGAGCCCAAAATCTTAAAGACCGGGGCTTGCGATTTCACCTTTTGGAGCAAATACTGGGCCCAAAATCTTAGGGACCAGGGCTTGCAATTTGACTCCGTGGAGCACAAATCGACCCCGAAATCTTAGGGACCAGGGCTTGCGATTTGACTCTGTGGAGCACAAATCGACCCCGACAACTTAGGGACCAGGGCTTGCGATTTGACTCTTTGGAGCAAAAATCGACCCAAAAATCTAAGGGACCAGGGCTTGCGATTTTACTCTTTGGCGCAAAAACTGGGCCCCAAATCTTAGGGACCAGGGCTTGCGATGTCACTCTTTGGAGCAAAATTGAACCCAAAGTCTTAGGGAGCAGGGTTTGCGATTTGACTCTTTGGAGCAAAAACTGGGCCCCAAATCTTAGGGACCAGGGCTTGCGGTTTGACTCTTTGGAGCAAAAATTGAACCCAAAATCTTAGGGACCAGGGCTTGCGATTTGACTCTTTGGAACCAAAAACTGGGCCCAAAATCTTAGGGACAGGGCTTGCGATGTCACTCTTTGGAGCAAAAAATGAACCCAAAATCTTAGGGACCAGGGCTTGCGATTTGACTCTTTGGAGCAAAAACTGGGCCCCAAATCTTAGGGACCAGAGCTTGCGATTTGACTCTTTGGAGCAAAAATTGAACCCAAAATCTTAGGGACCAGGGCTTGCGATTTGACTCTTCGGAGCAAAAACTGGGCCCAAGATCTTAGGGACCAGGGCTTGCGATGTCACTCTTTGGAGCAACAATGAATGCAAAATCTTAGGGACCAGGGCCTGCGATTTGACTCTTTGGAGCAAGAATTGAACCCAAAATCTTAGGGACCAGGGCTTGCGATTTGACTCTTTGGAGCAAAAACTGGGCCCAAGATCTTAGGGGCCAGGGCTTGCGATGTCACTCTTTGGAGCAAAAAATGAACCCAAAATCTTAGGGACCAGGGCTTGCGATTTGACTCTTTGGAGCAAAAACTGGGCCCCAAATCTTAGGGACCAGGGCTTGCGATGTCACTCTTTGGAGCAAAAAATGAACCCAAAATCTTAGGGACCAGGGCTTGCGATGTCACTCTTTGGAGCAAAAACTGGGCCCCCAATCTTAGGGACCAGAGCTTGCGATGTCACTCTTTGGAGCAAAAATTGAACCCAAAATCTTAGGGACCAGGGCTTGCGATTTGACTCTTTGGAGCAAAAACTGGGCCCCAAATCTTAGGGACCAGAGCTTGCGATGTCACTCTTTGGAGCAAAAATTGAACCCAAAATCTTAGGGACCAGGGCTTGCGATTTGACTCTTCGGAGCAAAAGCTGGGCCCCAAATCTTAGGGACCAGGGCTTGCGATGTTACTCTTTGGAGCAAAGATTGAACCCAAAATCTTAGGGACCAGGGCTTGCGATTTGACCCTTTGGAGCAAAAACTGGGCCCAAAATCTTAGGGACCAGGGCTTGCGATTTGACTCTTTGGAGCACCTGGGCCCAAGATCTTAGGGACCAGGGCTTGCGATGTCACTCTTTTGGGCAAGAAATGAGCCCAAAATCTTAGGGAGCAGGGCTTGCGATTTGACCCTTTGGAGCAAAAACTGTGCCCCAAATCTTAGGGACCAGGGCTTGCGGTTTGACTCTGTGGAGCAAAAATTGAACCCGAAATCTTCGGGACCAGGGCTTGCGATTTGACTCTTCGGAGCAAGAAATGAGCCAAAAATCTTAAGGACCAGGGCTTGCTTTGGAGCAAAAAACTGAGTCCAAAATCTTAGGGACCAGGGCTTGCGATTTGACTCTTTGGAGCAAAAACTGGGCCCCAAATAATAGGGACCAGGGCTTGCGATGTTACTCTTTGGGGCAAGAAATGAGCCTAAAATCTTAGGGACCAGGGCTTGCGATGTTA